ACTGGGTCCCAAACTACCTAGACCTTCGAGGCCACAGGCATACACTCTCTACAGCCATGACCCTCACTGGCACACACGCCTCACTCGAGTCCTTCAACTACCTGCCCTCCAAAAGCACACACTGCATTCTCACACACCGCAGGCCCCAGGGACAGACACGCAGCATTAACAGCATCCCGGGCCTCACTGCCACACGCCAGGCCTCAGAGCTCTGACCCCATCAGCACACGTTCTGGTACCTGTGCCACCCTGTCCCCCATGAACACACACCGGGCCTCTCCGCGGACATAACCCCTATGAGCATGTCTTGGAACTTCCTCGACATCCCCCGTTATACACCCTCGGGTCCCTCACCCGCTCCGCACCCCGCCCTCCTTCCACAAGCACACACGGGGCCTTGAACCTTACACGGCTTATTGGCATGAGGCTTACTGCCACATGCTCCGACCCCCATTAGCAACCCCCCCAAGTCTTTCACCCCATTGTCACCCATTTCCACACCCTTTGGTCCTTTGATTTCCCCTGCTCCCCATTAGCACCCACAGCACTTCCCACCCCAGCTCCCAGGGCGGGGCCAAGGTCAGGGAGGCCCCAAATGACCCCCGCCCCGGTGCATTCTGGGAAATTCGCCGGGGGTGGGGGCACCTGCCAGCCCGGCAGCCCAGACCCCTGGGCACCGCCCGGGGTGGGTTCTGAAGGAGGAGGGGCAGCCCCCACGCCTCGGGGACGCGCTCACCGGCGGGGGCGCGCGAGCAACCTCAGAGCCGCGGGGCCGGCGCGGCGGCGCCTGGGGCGGCGGCCCGGGATGAGGCCGCGCGACCTCCTTCTCCTCCTGTTCGCCGCAGGCGCCCGTCCCAGTAGTCTTCAGCCATGGTTGCTGGGCCCGGGCCGCCGCCGGCTGAGGAGGAGGAGGCGGCGGCGGCGGCGGTGGCTGAGGCGGAGGCGGCGTCCCGCTCAGCCGGCCATGAGCTTGGCCGCTGCGGGCGATGCCCCCGGGCTCGTTGGCGCCGGCTCGAATTCGAGTGCTCACGGCGGCTCGCGGCTCAGAGCCGGCTGATCGCGGAGTGGCGGCGGATCCCAGGGCCGAACAGCCAACGGCCCAACCGCCGCGCGCGCCGCGCTCCGCGCATGCGCACGCAGGCGCTCGGAAGGGTGAAGTAGCAAGGAGGGGACTCACCTCGGACTGCCTGTACCAAAGGACCCGTCCGCAGCGGGAGGGGACGCGGCCATCGCGAGCCCACAGGGGGATGCGGCGCCAGGCCGGGGACGGCACCAGGGAGAAGTGTGGAGGCTGTTTAGTACTCAGTTCCGATCTTGGCAGAAGTTTGCTAGCGCCTAGGTGAGCAGCGGCCAGTAACCTGGCGCGTCCATCACCACTCGCTCCCCCTACTCAGTCTCACTTGGTACATCCCCATGGTAGCAAACGGGACTTTTGCAAGGAGGAAAAAGAGAAATGAAGCACTCCGTTCTAGTCCCTTGAGGTGCCTGGGGAGGAAGGCATTTTAAAGGTTCGCGAGAAGATGACTTTTCGAGGAGAGGCAGCCTGAAGAGTTATTGGCCTTTGCCACCTTACCTAGGACAGCCTATCCCCGCCCAACTGCCCCCCCCACCGCTACCTTATTCCCATAGTGAACGTGTACAGCCCCGCCCTTTGAGGTTGTCGCCCAGCCAATCGGATTTGCTCTCTGTGGCGAGGCTGAGCAAGAATAAAGGGCGTGGCTGACTGAAGAGGCGTGATTTCGCTCTCTACCCAACTCCACACGCCTCCGCCCGGGTTTCATAGGTTTTCTCCGTCAGTAGGGGTGGGGCCTTCTTTTTGTTCTGAGCTTCTCCTTCGCTATAGGCCGAATATTCCGCAAGGTGATTGGTCACAATTGCGCTCAATCGGGTCTCGTCCCGCCTTTAGCCCGCCCTCCGTCTCATACAGCGGGCCTCCCGGGGTGAAAGCGAAGCTGAGAAAGGAGGAAAGAGGCGGATCCTTAGAGGTGCAGGAGCCGCTACTGCGCATGCTTGGAACTTCGAGCCGGGCGGAGCCTCTTTTCTGCCTCACACGAGAATTTGCATAGGCGCCGTGCGTTGGATTTTCCTGCCACCTCTCTTGCCCGCCACAGCCCCGCCCGTGCCTTCCCTCACTCTGCGGGTTTTTTGTTTTGTTTTGATGTCAGTCAACACAAGTAGAACACTCCGCGATTTTATTTCCATTTTATTTTATTTTATTTTTTATTTATTTATTTTTTTGAGACGGAGTCTCGCTCTGTCGCCCAGGCAGGAGCGCAGTGGCCGGATCTCAGCTCACTGCAAGCTCCGCCTCCCGGGTTCCGGTCATTCTCCTGCCTCAGCCTCCCGAGTAGCTGGGACTACAGGCGCCCGCCACCTCGCCCGGCTAGTTTTTTGTATTTTTTAGTAGAGACGGGGTTTCACCCTGTTAGCCAGGATGGTCTCGATCTCCTGACCTCGTGATCCGCCCGCCTCGGCCTCCCAAAGTGCTGGGATTACAGGCTTGAGCCACCGCGCCCGGCCTATTTCCATTTTATTTATTGGGCGCCTGTTGTGTGACAAGCACTACCAGGTCGACCTAATCCCTCGCTTCCTTCTGCCTGGAAAACCACACTATCCCCAAGTCCCGCTCAAAGGGCTGCAACCTCCAGCAGGCCTTCTGGCACATCCTTACACTACCCTGTTCCAAAGCAGCCTCCCGCCTCTTCCGGGCTTCCCTTTATGGCAGCCTTGGTCACACCAGTTAGGATTTTCAGTAAGGTTTATATTAGTGAAGATTTCCCGGGCCATAATGGGAGTGGAAACATTTGACAAAGACAGAAGTCCTCGCCTTGGCCTAGAATAGGTCCATCACTTCTCTGACCTCATCTCTTCCTCTTCTTCCCCTGACTCACTGCCACCATACTAGCGCTCTTTCTAGCTGTTTCTGAGTGAAACGAGCACAATCCAGCCTCAGGGGTTTTGCATTTGCTGTGGTTCCCTTTGCCTGGAATGCTCCTGCCCCACATCCACGTGCCTCATTCTCTCACTTCTTCCAGGTGCTTGCTTCAAAGTCATCTCCATGAAGCCTTTCCTATTTAAAAATTCCTACCTGCACTGCCATCATTCCAGATCCCCAGATCGGGCTCTATTCCTCGCCTTTTGAAGAACACTGATCAACTTCTAAGGTACAATTTGCTTACTGTGCTTATAGTCTGTTCTGGGTCTCAAGCTAGCAGAACATAAACCGCAAGAAGACAGGCATCTTTGTTTTATCCACTGCTGTCTCACGTGCCTGGAAAGTGACTGGCACACAGCACGCAACAAATGTTTGTTGAATGCCAGCCAGAGCAGGCCAAGAAAATAAAATGATCAGAAGGAGGTGGGCAAATAGTTCCAGGCAGTGACAAGAGAAACCTTTGTCCCACCCTATCCTTTGTGGCTGCTGGGTGCAGGGGGCTCGGTGCAATGACACAACCCCCGCCTGCTGAGCCCTGATCTCTGGCTGGTGTTGTAATGGTAGACAAACTGCAGAAGTAAAATGGAATGAGGTGGAGGGAGAACAACTAAGATGCAACCAGGATTCATGCATGACTCAAAAGCTTGTTTTGATGGAGAAGGGTGTCAGGTACGAATAAGGTGTCAAGGAGATCCAGTTGTGGTAGTGAAGAAATGGAGCTGTAATGGGGGAGGTGCAGCAAACAAGGTGTCTACAGAGTATCCGCAAAGGAGCTGGCATACTGGAGAAAGAAGACAACAGTTGTGTTCAAGCCTCAGCTGCTGTAGTGGCATGACCAGTGGACTGCGGTGTGGTGTCTAGGATACTCTAGAGCAATAATGGGAAAGTTCCTGTGGTGGGAAAAACTTTCCACTTGACAGCATCACCACTAGATACCAAAGGGAAAATGCCTCTGTCCTCAATGTCCTAGTGGGGAAGAAGAAACTGTGGAAGGATGAGGTCACCCACGCAGAGCAGGCCAAGAAAATAAAATGATCAGAAGGAGGTGGGCAAGGGCATATACTGTGCCCAGGACCAGGAACTACTGGCCCAGGAGACAGCAGATGTGGGCACAGGCTGTGATGGCAATCAGGCCAGTTCAGAACAGGTTGAGCTATTCCTTACACTCAAGTTTGAGTAGAAGAGTGAGGGATCTTGTTTCTAGTAAGGTAGATAAATTATTGTCTGGTTAGTTGAGGGACAAAAGTATGAATGGATTCCTCAGGCACCAGGAGCCAGTACAATAGAGGAAGGCAAAGATGTGGCAGTGGTCAGACTGGTGCTTTCAATCGTCTGGAGCGCTAAGCGAAGACCAAGGACAGAGCACGGTAGCTCTGCAGTTCTGATGGGGCTGGTGTTGGGCCTCCTGCTACCTGCTCTAAGCGATGAACACCCTTCAGTCCCCATTGCCAGCTGTCTTCTCCAAGGTAGGAGGCTGAAGATCAAGGGGCATACAGGCAGACCTGGGGCTGAGGGGGGCAGCGTAAGACAAGCAAGGGGCTTTTCCTCTACCAAGGTTCTCAAATATTTCCATAAAAATTGCAAAGTATGCCTGCAGGCACTGGCATTCAGCAGAGCTGTTTAAGACACCCCTGCAGCAAGGAAATTGAACTAAGAGCACCACAGGCATTCCTGGTGCTGGGAACCATGACTACAAAAGGCTGCCCAGGGTCTGAGTGCTTTGAGCCAGGTGGGAGGGGATCTGCCCTAAGGACATAAGGCATGCTGGCCATGCCCTAGCAGCCTGGTCACAACTTTCCTCTTCACAGAGCAGGGAGTTAGGACATGGAGAAGGTGAGAATTGAACCCAGCTCAAATTAAGTCACATGGACCCAAGTACCTGCTCACTGGCCTCACTGGTGCCTCCTTTTCTTCCTAGGCAGAGAGGGCAGGAACAGGTGGCAATTACATTTTCTTTGCCCAGAAAACTGGCAGGTGTGGTGGGGCTGAGCCCTCTGAGTTACCATCTGAACCAGATAGTTCCAGGAAGTCCCTTCCTTGCCTGGAACCAGCAGGGCAGGCGACGTGGGAGTTATTAATTCTTTATTAGGATTCAGGTTTCAAACAAGGTAGAAGGCAGTGGCAAGAGGAGTTCAGGTAGGGGGATGATGAGGGAACACCAGACTTGGCTAGCTGGGCCACTGCCAGAAGCCAAATGGGAACCCTGGGCTGGAAGGGGTGTGGAGAGGGATGGACAGAGGCAGGCCTAGAGGAGCAGACGGGGGTCAGCGGATGGTGTATCGGACATAGGGAACCTCGACATCCTCACCGCTCTCGTCATTACAGCACAGCTCAAGCACCAGCGCCCGCACGTGGCGGCCCAGTTTTCGCTTCGACACACGGCTCACAATCTCTGTCATCCTGGGGACAGGGGGATGGGAGCATAGGGTCAGGAGGGCAGAAAGCAAGAGAGGACGGGCAGGTAGGTGGGGGCAGTGAACTGGAGTGGGACAGCTGGATGTTGAGGTTCCCCAACCCACACAGGGCCTCCCCCCAGCTTGGCCAGTGGCCAACTCACGGCTGATCCAACCGTTCCTTGAGCTTGGCAGCTGGCATGAAGAAGGAATAGAGCATGGACACGCCCTGGGACAGCATGGTGATCTCTAATTTGTGCTCTGTCTGGAGAGGGAGGGGGAACAGCAGGGTCATGGGGGTGGACAGGCCAGCAAGCCACCTTGCACACCTCGCCCCCCAAGGTGGGGTGAGAGAGAGGGGGAGGGGCCTTACCTTAAAGTAGTCGAGGAACTGTTTGAGGGTCATCTCGTCACCATTAGGCTGCAGACCTTGTACCTCAAAGCGATCCCACAATGTCCACTCTTGGTTATAGTACTGCAGGACAAAGAGGGGAGTGTAAGATGGAGACCATCCCAGAGGGTCCAGCCCCCATCTGTCTCCATCCCCCTCACCCCCATGCAGACGTGTTCAGTCAGATCACAATCCTCTTTTGTTCGAAATCCTCTTGTGGCTCCCATCTCACCCCAAGCACTGAAATTCTGTTTTCTTCTCATCTCCTACTCTCCTCAATCTCACACTCACTCCGTGGACTTTGAATTCCTCCAACTTGCCAGGCACACCCCTATCTTGGTACCCTTTTAAGAACTGGTCCCTCTGCCTGGAATGTGTCCCCACTCACCACCAAGCCTGCACGGTTTGCCCCCTCACATCCTCCAAGTCTGATCTCAAGTGTCATCTTTTCAGCAAGGCCTTTTCTGACCATCCCACACAAAATCTCAAACACAACCCCTCGCCCCCTGGTATTCTCAAGTCCTCTTTATCTTTTTGAGATGGAGTTTTGCTCTTGTTGCCCAGGCTAGAGTGCAATGGCATGATCTCGGCTCACTGCAACCTCCGCCTCCCAGGTTTAAGTCATTCTCCTGCCTCAGCTTCCCGAGTAGCTGGGATTACAGGTGCCCACCACCATGCCCAGCTAATTTTTTGTATTTTCAGTAGAGACAGGGTTTCATCATGTTGACCAGGCTGGTCTCGAACTCCTGACCTCAGGTGATCCATGTGCCCCGGCCTCCCAAAGTGCTGGGATTACAGGCGTGAGCCACCGCGCCCGGCCTCTTTTTATCCTTTTTTGATTCCAAGATCATTTAATAGGTTATTTATATCATCTACTTGAGGAACGTAACTTAGAAGACTACCTGCACACAACAGGTGCTCAATAAATATTTGAGTGAATTCATGAATGAAGCAAGCAAAGCACTTAAGTGTAGGAAGCATCCAATAAATTTTGGCTGCCATTATTGTGTAGTTAATAATACTAATAATCTCCCAGGGCACAATTCAAATATCCCATCTTTTCGCATGTACTCAAACAATATGATTAATGAATAAACGAAAAAGGATGCATAAAAAAGGTAGGTACACATAGACAGAAACCCTCACCTGATGACAGGGTATGACGTGAATTAGAAGCAGAATCTACAGACATACCCCACCCAAACCCCACTTCTGATGCGGGCCCCCACCTGGTGACGTGGTGCGGCAAGGGGTTCAGAGAAACCGAAGAAAGGCAGGGCCAAGTTGAGGAAACCATTCTTGTAGGAGTCAAGCTGTCGGTGCCCCTGCACAACCTTGTACAGCTCCAGACACACAAGGCCAACCACGGCTGCTGTGGTCGTGGCAATGGCTGGGATGATCTTCCCCGCAATCAGCTTGCTCTGAGAGACAGGAAGGGACAAAAGAAAGTGGTAGTTAAGTACAAGAGCCTCAGGGTCTACAGAGGGGCTGAGTGTGGGTAACTCAAACCTGGAGGAGTGTGGAATATCAGGTCTAGATTCCCCTCACCTTGTGCCGGTCTGCAGGAGGAATGTCATAGTTTTCTGCCCGGAGGTTGGATGCAGCCACGATGAAATCCATATGAAAGTTGCTGTCATCATCCTGTTATGAGTGGGGAGGGTGTGAAGGGGCAGTGGGGAGAGGATCAGTTAAATAAAATGTGTATCCTCCACTGCAACTGCCTGCTGGACTCTCCCAGATCACAAAGGGATGGCTGGGAATACCTACTCATTCAGAGCCATGTGGCAGGCCCACGATCTGATCCCCACAAAGGCCCAGGGCTGTCTCCAGATACTCCTCCTGTTTTTCTCCAGCCTATGCTTTGCCCATCCTCCCTTCCCTGTCCTGGGCCCCTACCCTGTACCTTCTCAAAGTCAATGGGGTACATCTTGAATCCAGGGAGCTTGTCTGGGCTGGGCAGAGTAGCTTTGAGCTCCTCTAGACGACTGTCATCTGCATGAAGAGAGGGACACTGTCAGCCCTTTAGATCCCAGGCTAAGGTCTGAGGTGGAAATGGGAGCCCAGTGTGGGGCAAAAGGTATTCAGGTAGAAAAAGGATTTGGAAAGGAGACATCCTGGGAGAGAAAAGGGGCAAGGAGGAGAGGTAGAGAAGAACAGAATACAAACCTGAAAAACACAGAGAAAGAGCTGAGGCTATCAAGAACGATCTCTCTAGAGACACTAAGGAATGGAAATGAAAGTGTTAGGAGAAAGTGGAGATGGAGAGATCAAGATGGGAAACGTAAAGATCTTGGGAAGAATGATGTAGAGCGAGATGGGGGAACACAGAGGATACAGGGAGGAAAAGGGGAGTAAAAAAGATACATGGAGGGGAAGTTGGGGGGAATGTACAGATGTGGACATAGAGGAAAGATATGGGGGGAGATGGAGAAGATATAAACGGGGAGAGTGGGGATATACAGAGGGTGAGACAGGTGGGAGGAAAAATATATGAAGGTGATGAGAGATATGGAAGGAAAGATTGGAAGACGTACATAGAGGAATATGAAGGAGTAGATATTTCAGAAGGAAGATGGGGACCATGGAAGGGGAAATGGGAGGAGATCTATGGAGAGGAAGAGGGATGAGATATAAGGAAGGTAAATGTAGGGGGCATTACAGAGCTACAGATGCATTATATACAGAAGGGAGGGGTGGTGAAAAAATATGTAGATGGGGTGGGGCGGGGGTGTCAGTAAACCGCAGCCCCAAACTATGGAGGGTGAAGATGCATAGAGAAACATGGGGATAGATGTACAGATGGGGGCAGAACTGGAAGGAGACAAGGCAGGAAGGTATCACGGGAGAGAGACCACTGGTAGAGATCATACGTCTTAGATGAACAGATCAAGAAGAAAGAACAAAACTAAGGGAAATACACAGAGCAAGAGTAAAACAGCAAGTTCTCCTGCGGGCCAGAGAGTGGAGAGGAGGAGGGAGGGAGACAATTTGCCCCAACCTACCCTCTTCATGTCAAAGGGAGGCTCAAAGGAAGGTGTAGGTAAACCTCAGGCCTGGGGTCACAGAGCAGAGCAGAGCCAGGGGTAGAGGACTGGTGGGGAGGCTGGACTAGGCCGGGGACATTTGGGGGTGACTACTGGCCAACTGGCCAAACACCCTCACCAACAGAGGCATTGGCGCTCTGCAGCTCCTGGTCAGAAACATGGATCTTGACGCCAGACTTGGGGGTGAATTCGGGGACCTGCACAGACTGCAGGAGTGTGGCCACAGCAGCTCGGTCCTGAGAGCCTGTCAGCCCGTAGGTCTGGGCAAACAGGTTGGCAGCAGCCATCACATAGTCCAGATGCAGGGGCTAGGAGAAGGCAGGGCAGGGAAGGGTGAGCACATCAGCCCTCGAGTGGGGAGCCACCACCTCCTTCCCACCTACTCACCCTCCACCTGACCCCAGAAGACCCTAGAGAGGAGACTTACGTTGTTGACATCAAAGGTGAGAGGGTGTGGACAGCGTTTGGGCCCAGACCAGAAAGGGGCTCCTGAGCTTGTGAGCTAAGGGATGGAGAGATTTTTGAGAACAGGACCTGAGAGTGAAGGCCTCTCTGACAATCTTGGCACTTCACCTAGGCCCCAGAGGTGCCCCCAACTCACTATCTCGGGTTGGGCACTCGATGGGGACTGGAGCCAATCACAAAATACCCCAACTGTAGGGTCCCACAGGTTGAACCACAGATCTGGCTGAGAGAACAACTACCAATCCCTGGGTAGTCATTTTGTGCTAGACAGCCCATCATTTAACAAACTCATGGATTACCAGACATTGTACTAACTTCATATTAATCCTCCCCAAACCCCCCATGACGTAGATCACTATTATTTCTACTTCACAGACGAGGAAACTGAGGTACAGAAAGAAGTTACGTGATTTGTTCATGTAGAGTTTGGATTTGAACCTGAACCTGTACTGATTCCTGTGCACTTAACTCCAGAATTTCTCCCCCATAACCCCTACAGCCTTGACTGGGAATCAGGTATGACGCAGCCCACACCACAGTCAGGGTAAACAGCAACCAAGCCTCTTTGCTCAAAGGAACTAGGGTAAGGAAAAAGCAGGTTAGGGTCAATCACTCTTCTCAGATCCCCATGCCTCAGGGCACCTGCCACAGCTGGACTCCGCAGTGGGAGGACCCACACTGCAGGCTTCCATTTCAAGAAAATCCATTCTGCCAAATGGACCCAACAACTGGGCATTACCTGGTCAGGAGGGAAGTTGTGCAGCAGCTGCCGGATGTTGTTTGAGTACTGGGTGTGCCAGTGGTGGCAGGCCCAGGTCACGCAGTCAGCCCAGGTCTGTGGTCGCTGCAGCACCAGGCTGCGCTGCACAGCCTCCAGCACCTCCAAGGGCTGGGTGCCTGCCAACCGCAGTGTTCGCTCCACAAACTTGGGGTCTCTATCAGGAATCGAAGAGGACAGAGGACAGGATTACACGTCAGCCGCAGGAGTGGGCTCCAGAGCAATCTTATTTTCTCCATGGAAAACTAGTCCCCATGGAAAACTAGTCCCGACCCCAAACAATACGAGGCCTGAGCAGCCACTCATTCATGTGAAAAGTGTGCCTGGTGCCAAGTATTACTGTGATGAGGAAAGCGGGCGGGATGCCTTGGCTGGTGGACAAGGATAGGGCGAGAGGGCACTGGAGTTACTCACGTGAGGTACTGGTTGACATTTTCTGCTGGCTGCTTGAAGAGGCCTTCAAACTCATCCCGAGCCCACTGCAGACATAGTAAACAGATTACATGTGCCCACAGTTGACAAAATGGGTTTCCGCAGGCATTATTAGAAGGACCATCAGTGAATAAAGCAAGTACAAGGCTCACAGTTACTCTGGAAGTGGGGAAGCTCCCCAGCCTTCCCCATTTCCCCACCTCAACTGAAAAACCAGGCCAGGTGCAGTAGCTCACACCTGTAATCCCAGCACTTTGGGAGGCTAAGGTAGGTGGATCACCTGAGGTCAAGGGTTCGAAACCAGCCTGACCAACATGATGAAACCCCATCTCTACTAAAAATACAAAAATTAGCTGGGCATGGTGGCAGATGCCTGTAATCCCAGCTACTCGGGAGGTTGAGGCAGAGGAATCGCTTGAACCCGGGAGGCAGAGGTTGCAGTGACCCGAGATCATGCCATTGCACTCCAGCCTGGGCGACAGAGCAAGACTCCGTCTCAAAAAAAAAAAAAAAGAAAAAAAAAAAAAGAAAAACCAATGAACTTGATTTGGGCAGTGGTTACAATAGTGCTGCGTATATGGAAAACTGTTGTTTTGTTGTTTGAGACAAAGTCTCACTCTGTCACCCAAGCTAGAGTGCAGTGGCGCAGTCACGGCTCATAGCAGCCTTGACCTCCCAGGTTGAAACAATCCTCCCACCTCAGCCTCCCGAGTAGCTGGGACCACAGGCACATGCCACCACACCCGGCTCATTTTTAAGATTTGTTGTAGAGACAAGGTCTTGCTATGTTGCCCAGGCTGGTCTTGAACTCCTGGGCTCAAACAAACCTCACTCCTTGGCCTCCTGAGTGCTGAGATTATAGGTGTGAGCCGCCAAGCCCAGCCTAAAAATGTATTAAGATCTGCGTACCAGGCTGGGCGAGGTGGCTCACGCCTGTAATCCCAGTACTTTGGGAGGCTGAGGCGGGTGGATCACCTGAGTCAAGAGTTCAAGACCAGCCTGACCAACATGGTGAAACCTTGTCTCTACTAAAAATACAAAAATTAGCCGGGTGTGGTGGCAGACGCATGTAATTCCAGCTACTTGGGAGGCTGAGGCAGGAGAATCGCTTGAACCTGGGAGGCAGAGGTTGCAGTGAGCCAAGACTGCGCCACTGCACTACAACCTGGGCAACGTGAGCAAAACTCCACCTCAAAACAAACAAACAAACAAAACAAAATAAAAAAAAAAAAACTGTGTACTTTATTCTAGATATGTTATGCCTCCATAAAAAAGAAAAACTTCAACTAAGTGTATCTTACCACAATTTTTTTAAAAAGAAAAAACTCAGGCCAAACCAAAAATGATCCCTATCCAGGCCCTGAGGACTCGGCAGAAAACAAGACAGAGGCTGGATACAGGGGCTCACACATGTAATCCCAGCACTTTTGGAGGCTGAGGTAGGTGGATCACTTGAGCCCAGGAGTTTGCAACCAGCCTGGTCAACGTTAACAGGCGCACGTGCGCACACACACACTTCCCAGGAGCTGAAGGTTGCAGTGAGCTATGATTGTGCCAATGCACCTCAGCCTGAGTGACAGAATGAGACCCTGTCTCAAAAAATAAAATAGCAAACAAGACAGAGGTTCTGGCCTCTGAGAGCTCCTAGGACAGTTCGCAGTCATTAGCGAGGTGGTTTGGAGTGTACAGATGTGAGAAATTCATGTTCAGATTCCAGCTATGCCACGTATTACCTAGTTTTGTGACTTCAGGCACACAGGATAACATCTTTACCTCTGTGCTTCATCTCTAGAACAGATGTTACAACAGTGATACCTACTTCATGGGGTTGCTAGGAAGAAATGAGCAAATACATATATATTTAAAGCTTGGTTAAAACAGTGCCAGGCACACACGGTAAATGCCAAGTGGTTCACAACTGTTCTGTGAGGTAGATGCTACCGTCATTCCCATTTTACAGAACAGGAATCTGAGGCACAGAGAGGTCACACATGACCTAGTAAGACTGTGGTGGGTGCACAAATACAAACATACCCACTCTGGAACTGCAGTGTCAGAAGCGAGAAAGTGACAGATGGAACTGGTTTTTTTTTTCCCCTTCCCTATTTTGTTCCCACCCTCATACTCCTACTATTCTAAATGGTTTGGCCTCAAACACTGCACTAAGAATTATTCTGACAGCACAATGGTAATCCCTAGGTTCTGTTTCTTGGCCTAGGTGGTAGTCACTTGTGTGTTCACTTTGTAAAACTTCAGCTAGATCAAGCTTGTCTAACCTGTGGCCCATATGCGGCCCAGGATGACTTTGAATACTGCCCAACACAAATTTGTAAATTTTCTTAAGATATTATGAGATTTATGCACGGATCTTTTTTCTTTTATTTTTTCAGCTCATCAGCTATCGTTAGTGTTAGTATATTTTATGTGTGACCCGAGATAATTCTTCCAATATGGCCCAGGGAAGCCAAATGATTGGACACCCCTGAGCTAGATAATATGTGCACTGTTCTGTAGGTACATGCACCATACACACAGAATCATCCTGACAAACCAACTGTTAAACTCATTTTAAGTAACAGCTGGGGAAAACCCGAATATGGACTATTAGAGACAAATAAATAACTGGAAGAGATGGTAAGAATGATTGTTAATTTTGCTGAGCATGAAAGTGATGTTTCTGTTAGATAGAAGTAGTTCTCAATTGGGAGTGATGTGACACCCCTGGGGACATCTGGCAATGTCTGGAGACATTCTAGATGTCATGATGGAGGGGGAGTGCTATTGACATAAGAAGTCAGGAATGCTGAGAAACATCCTACAGTGCACAGGGCATCCCCTCTCCCATAACAAAGAAATAACCAGCCCCAAATGTCAGTAGTGCTGAAGCTAAGAAACCCTGTTCTATAGCAACATATCCTCACTTGGCAGAGGCACTGAAATAGTAGGGAGTAAAGGCTGTAATGTCCGTGACACATTTAAGCACAAAGAAGAAAAATCTATATACATCTAAGAAGAAAATGTGGCAAAACATTAAGAATTGCTAAATTTAGGTGAGGAATGGTATTTGAGTATTCATCATAATATTCTTAATATTTGTCTATGTGTTGAAAGAAATTCAAAGTAAAAGTGAAAAAAGAATGAGTCATTCTAGAAACCTAGGCTGCCTGGTGGGAAGAGAAGGAGGGAGGTTTGGAGAAAAGGTACATCTTACACTTAGGCATGCAACATCTGAAGGCAAGGCAAGGGCCTGGGGGCAGAGAGGCAGCGGCCTGGCCAGATGCCTGGCCTCTTTCCCTTCTCCCACAGCTTATCACCTGCAGGGTGTGCTCGATGGCATTAGGGAAGTTCTTCAGGGTACAGATGGGGATGGACTTCTCAGGTGGGTCCTGGCTGGAACTGTACGACTCTGTCAGGAAGGGGATCACCACCTGCACGTTGCCTTTGGTGCCCAGTGTGCCTGACTCCAGCAGTGGCTTCCGGTAGTAGACGCAGCGGCGGTCCATGTACATGCCTGCGGGGAGGACAAAGCGACAGCTGGGAAAGGAACATTAGGAGAGGACAGGAAGACAGACACCCTCTTGGTATATACACACCAAAACACACACAACTTTGCCCTTGACCACCTCACCCGCCTCCAAACTCACGGGCATCCACGTTGTCCAGGGCATTGGCCACGCCATCTAGGTTTTGGAAAAAATCGTCATCATAGATGCGCTCTGTGTCAGGACCCACACGGTTCTGGTGGCTTGTCACCCGGATATGTGGATTCATCTGGCGCACAGCTGCAGCGGCCGTGTCAGACTTTAACTTCTAAAGGGTTAAGAAAGTGCAGTTCCAGGGTGGGGACGGGGGAACAGAGCTCACTTATCTGTGCATTCACCCAACAAACATCTTTTTTTTTTTTTTTTGAGACAGGGTCTCTCTCCATCACACAGGCTGGAGTGCAGTGGCGTGATCACAGCTCACTGCAGCCTCAACTTCCCAGGCTCCAGACATCCTCCCACTTCAGCCTCCCAAGTAGCTGGGACCACAGGTGTGCACCACCATGCGTGGCTAATCTTTGTATTTTTGGTAGAGACAGGGTTTTGTCATGCTGCCCAGGCTGGTCTTGAACTCCTCAGCTCAAAGACCTCGGCCCCACGAAGAGCTGGGATTACAGGCGTGAGCCACCACACCTGGCCCAAACATCTCTAAAGGGTTGCCTGCCTGAGACGGATTTACTTAATGCTGGGGAAGACCCAGGCCCTGAGTTAGGTGGCTAGCAGGAGAGACGGTCTGTGACAATGCCACATGGCCAGGATGATGACGCATGTGGCAGGGGATCAGTGGAAAGGGAAGCTGTGGACAGGAACAGACTGGAGACAATGGGCCAGACATCTGTTCTTTCATCTAACACCATTTTTTCAGGTAATAGCACCCAGGATTGATGTAGACTCCCCCAACCAGCACCAGGATGCTAGCGCACAGACAAGCAGGATCCTTTCAAAGCCCAAGGTGGGCCACATCCCTCCTCTGCTCAAAATCCTCCCCTGGATCCCACCTCCACTTACCGTAAAATGAGTTGGCTCCCTGACCCTCCCACCTCAGGATCTTTGCGTGGGCTCTTCCGCAGCAGAAGGTGCTCTAGTCCCTCATATCCTTGAGGTCTCTGCAGAACTCAGGCCTTCCTTAACCACTGTCATCAATACTACAAACCATTCTCCCTGACACCCTGACTTCCCTTGTCTGGTTTTTGTTGTTTCCTTTGAGGAGCACTCATCACCAACATTAACTATATACCTCACGATCGTATTGTGTCTATTGTTTGCTGTCCGTTCCCCTCCCCTTTCAGGAATCTTGTTTTATTCCTTGGTATATCCCCAATACCTAAAACAGTACCTCAGTAACTATTTGGTGAATAAATGAAATGAATGAAAGGGGGAATAAATCCTGGGTAAGCAAAAATGACATTGTTCCCTACAGAAGGCTTCTCAGAGATCCCTGCATAACCAACCCAGTTTCCATATGGGCAGAGAAGTGTAAGCCTAGGAGACTGAAACTGCAACCCTTGGAAAGGCCTGCTTCCAAGGTCCACCCCTGGCTGGAGTCTGGGAACTTGGAATTCGGGAAGAATCCCACCATTCCCTACCTGATATCAGTGGTTCACTGTGCCTAAACTGTTCATGCAAACAATACAGTTTATGCTGAACACCTTTCCTTCTGGGAGTCTGGAAATTTTGGTATGTGCCAGGGAGGGGGCGCCTACATGACCAGTCCTAAGTAAAAGAGATGGTGCTGAGTCTAACAAGCTTCCCTGATTGGCAACATTTCATGATGGTGCTGAGTCTAACAAGCTTCCCTGGTTGGCAACATTTCACATCTTGTTACACCTTGTTGCTATTATTTCTGTAGTTACTGTTGCTACTGGGGAAATAAAGGCCACCTTGTTTAACTCCCACAGGGAGAAGACTCCTAGAAACTTGCACCTGGCTCCCCCAGACTTCACCCCACCAGCCTTTTCCCTTTGCTGATTTTGGTCTGTTTCCTTTTGCTGTAATAAATTGTAGCCACAAGCACGACTATATGCTAAGTCCCATGAGTTCTCTTGGTGAATTGAGCTTGAGAGTGGTTTTGAGGACCCCAGACACACTGTCCCAACCAGCACTAAGGTCAAGGCAAAAACAAAAACAACAAAAACAAACAAGATACAGAAGCTGGGAAAGGCTTCTAGCCAAGGTGGAAAGATCTCTGACAGAAAGAATGGGAACAAGAAAAAGGAGGGGCGTGGTGAGGTGGCTCACGCCTGTAATCCCAGCACTTTGGGAGGCTGAAGCAGACGGATCACCTGAGGTCGGGAATTCAAGACCAGCCTGACCAACATGGAGAGACCCTGTCTCTACTTAAAAACCAAAATTAGCCAGGCATGGTAGCACATGCCTGTAATCCCAGCTACTCAGGAGGCTGAGGCAGGAGAATCGCTTGAACCCAGGAGGCAGAGGTTGCGGTGGGCCAGAGATCATGCCACTGCACTCCAGCCTGGGCAACAAGAGCGAAACTCTGTCTCAAGAAAAAAAAAAAAAAAAGAAAAAGGAGGAAAGTGAGATGACAAAGCCCCACCTCCTACCCTACTCACTGTGACATCCCAGGGCCGGAAAAGAAACTGTCGATTCAGATTTGACTTCTCAATGATGTCCATGTCTGTAACGATGATTTCTCCACCCTCCCTGCAGCCCAGCCCAATCATGGCAAAGTTCTTGAGCAGCTCACAGCCAATGGCCCCCGCACCCACCTAAGAGGCAACCAAGAAGACAGGCAGAGGCTGGTCAGGGTGATGCAGGTTAGTGTGAGGCTACCCATCACCCCTCACTCCCCTGAGAGATGGGGAGAGGGGCTAACACCACATCTTCAGGTTCCAGGACTCTAAGAAATGACACGAAGTCGTGTGAGGAAGGAGGAACCAGAGCGGGAAACAAGGGATGCACTGGGCTTCCCTTCAAGATAAGGAGAATGGCAACGGGAATGCCCCACAGGTTGCATTGAAATGCTGAAGCCCCAGGGCAGATGGTCAGAGGCCAAGATGAGGGGAGCAAGCATCCAAGGGGACCACTCACCAGGAAATACTTCTGCTTGCCCAGCTTCTCTTGCAGGTCTGAGCCAAACACAGCCACTTGCCCATCATAACGGTTCTGGCGCTAAGGAATGCAAAGGGAGGAGGGTCAGAGAGAGGCCTCCCCAGAAATGCCCCCAATGATGCCCTCCCCACAGGTCCCACCCACATACTGGGAGGCACTTGTCCTCCGTGAGGGCCTCTTTGTCCTCAGGGAGACACTCAAGGGCATCAAAGTATAGCCACTGCATGATGGGCATGAACTTCCCGGAGCAGGCCTGGAGAGGGGAAGGGAGAGAGGGGGTGGTCAGTGGTTAACAGGGGCCTGACACAGAGAGCAAGTGACGGAGTCAGGGAGGCACCTGGCCCACCCCAATCCTGCCTCTCCCAACCCATGCTGACCTTCATGACTTCCTGGGCAGCCAGGCCCCCAATGAAGGCGTTTATGGGTGCCAGATCCCCAGCAGCCACATATGCCAACTTCCGGATGAGGTCCTCGTCCAGGTTCTCTTGCTGCACTGCTGGCAGGGCTCGAGCATTCACAGCCTGTGCTAAGGCCACCAGTTCTGTTGCATCCTCCTGGTGGGCCAGAAAGAACCAAAAGAGGATCTGTCAGGCCACAATGAGGGCAGGGAGTGTGGACAGGCAGAAGCATGGTGGGCCTTCAGTGCCAGGCATGTCTGCATTGGCTGGCTCGCCTACCCACCCACCTCATTGCGGGGCCGAGGTGGCCGGCCATGCTGAACACGGAAGTGGTGCAGGGCCTGGAAGCCAATGTGCAGCTGGGCAGGGTGAGAAAACTTGGCGAAGTCCGTCATCACAAAGTCAGGTTCTGCCAGTGAGGCCACCAAGGATTTCTGTGGCGGGGGAAGGGGAGGTCATCAGAACCAGAAGAGAGGAATGAAGAACTCGGGAATGCCTAGAACTACCCCACATAGCCACTGTTCCCACTGACACACTCACAAAGCTAATCTTCTTAGGTACTTTGACCTGACTGACGATGCCTCCACGGATATAGTCGGAGAAGTTGGAGGTGTCACAGATGCTAAAGGTATAAGGACCTACAGAGGGCAGGAAGAGAGCTATCAGTCTACCCATTCTCCCTAAAATCCACAACTCCTGCAAGATAAGGAACCTCCTGCCCCAACTCAGCTCAGACATCAGACGCCATCTCCCCTCTGCTCCAGGCTCCACATGGACATCAGAAACCATCTCTCCTGTGCCCCAGACCCAGCTCAGACCCTGTGAGACCCTATGTCCCTGGCTCCAAGTCTACATGGGAAGACCTTATCTGCTTCCCATCCAAATCAGCTTACACACAAGTAGATCCTCTGATCTGCCCTGTTCAAACACCAGAGACCTTTTCCCCCTCAGCTCAGATACCAGGGACACATTCTCCCAGGAATAGCTCGAACACAGCACCTCTCCCCCATGCCCACCAGCTCTTATTGGACCCCACGGGATTCTGTCTGTAGTTCATCTTAAACAACAGGATGTGTCTCCCCAATCTGAACCAAGGGCCATGTCTCCTCCCTTCAACTCCCCAGTCAGAACCCAGGAACATATCTCCTAGCTCCCCTCTGCTTCCCCCATGGTCCCAGCTCACCCAGGACTTTGATCTCCATGGGCTGATTTCTGTTGAGTTCAACCATGCCCTGTACTTCTGAAAAGGAGACAAAGTCCCCACTTTCAAACCCGTGTCGGGCCTCATCCAGGCAGGTAACCACACCAGGGTTGTCCTGGTTAAAGGAAGAGTGAGTCTCAGAAACAGGCCCAGGGTACCAAGAGCGGACAGGAAGGACTACCACAGCCCACCTGCCCGCCAGGAACGTTAGGGCTGGTCTCCTTACCTTGGTAACCATAGAAACCATAGCACTGAGCGGCTGCTCCCCATTGGAATCTGTGAGGATCATTTCCTCTCCAAAGTCACAGAAGAGCTGCCTGTAGAGGGAAGCAATAGGGCTGATGCCCGTGTCCCATGCACAAACAGGCCCCACAGGTCCCTCAAGATGCAGTGAAAACTTGCTGAGCAAACTCAGCCTATCACTGCTGGGATGTAAGATGGTACTTGTGCCACATGAGGAGAGATGAACACAAAGAACCCAAAATCTGGGTAGCTGAGGAGGGACGAGGGCAGGGAGAGCCTAGAGGTCTTGACCTGGGCCTGGTAGGAGTTGGAGGAAAAGGGGACAGGGAGGGGGGTGGGCCGCCACTCACCCAAACAGGCCCCTTGTGTCTGCCACCACCAGCTTGATGCCACGGCTGTGACAGAACTCACCCACTCGCAGCTGGTCCTCCAGGGGGGTGTTGGTGAGCACCACCACCTGTGGAGAGATGGAGGCTCAGGCCCAGCATTGGGGTGAAGGGGAGAAAATGGTGGAGGGCTGATGTCAAGGACTCAGGCAGTCCTCAAGGCAGACACATCCAGGCTTTGCTGGGTCAGCCTCTTTCACAAACACACAGCACCTACTGTGCATCAGACTCCGTGGGGGTCAAAAATGAACTCCTGGACTATACCAGGAAAGGTGAAGAGGTAGCTGGGAGGACAGAGTTTGGAGAAGAGCTGACTCATTTATTTGACAAACACCCGCTGCTGTCTGCCTGCCATGCCCTGTGAGACACTGGAGTAAAACTCTGTCTCCAGCCAAAGTCTGAGCTCACTCCTACCACACCCACCTGCTTCCAATTCCCAAGACAATGCCTACTCCGCATGATCTTTGGGATTTTGCTCTCTGCCTGAATGTCCATCCTTCCCCACCAGGGTGAGCTCCTACTCCTCCATCCGGATTTAGCTGCAGTGCCCTGGCAACCCAGGGCCGACTCTCAGCTTCCAGAGCACCTCTTTCTGGCCTGGACTTTTTAATTAACAAACACCTATCCAGTTCTTACGTGCCAGCTGCAATTCCACGTGTTTAACCCTCATAAAAAGTCCATGAAGTCAGTGCTGCTACCACGCACTGACTACAAACAGGAAAACTAAGGTACAGGAGATGAAGCAACCTGCTTGAAGTCACACTACCAAGGCTGGAGGCCCGCGGCAAGGCAGTATGGCTCCTTCCACAGTCTGTGCCCACAACCACTATGCCGTACTGTCTGTACACATCTTCCCCACTTGAAAAGGCAGGGCCAGGCCGGGCGCGGTGGCTCACACCTGTAATCCCAGCACTTTGGCAGGCCGAGGCAGGCGGATCACAATGTCAGGAGATCGAGACCACCTTGGCTAACATGGTGAAACCCCGTCTCTACTAAGAATACAAAAAAAAAATTAGCCAGGTGTGGTGGCGGGCGCCTGTAGTCCCAGCTACTTGGGAGGCTGAGGCAGGAGAATGGTGTGAAGCCAGGAGGCGTAGCTCGCAGTGAGCCTAGATCGTGCCACTGCATTCCAGCCTGGGTGACAGAGCAAGACTCGGTCTCAAAAAAAGAACAGAACAGAACAGAACAGAACAGAAAAGGCAGGGCCAGGGGCTAACTGCTGCCTGCATACTCTAGTCCCCCAGCACAAAACCTAGGATTCAGGCCGACCCATTAAATCAATATTGAACACCACTGAACAAACCAGAGATGGGCTGTGAGAGAACTGGGCAGAAGGCTGGGTGGTACCCCCAAGATACCTGGAAACCACTAAGGAAGTCCTCAACGAGGGGTCCAGTGTAGGCAGTGACAGGCACATAGCTGTTGAGCTCAGCGAGGCGGGGCTGTGATACCTCGGCCCGGTTTTTACCGATGTCCTCCTCCCGCAGGTAGAACTGTAAGGGTGTGCAGTAGGGAAAAAAGGTGAAATGGCTGAGGCACCGGGAACGGTGGTGCCTCGGGAAGGGGGAGAGGGGGAAGGGTGCTAGGAAGAGGTACCTGGGAGGAAAGATCAGCCCACTGGGCAGTGCCCTGGTCATGTAGGGTGACAGCCTTGACCCCACCAAGGATGATGTTCTTAGCGATCTCCACGCCCAGGCCCCGCAGGCCTGATACCAGGACACTGGATGTCTGGAGCCGCTTCATTGCCTCATGGCCCAACACATACCTGCCAGGTTAGGGGGCACTCTAGGTGAGGGCCTGCCCCACCCAACCCTATCCTCTCAATGTCCCATTCCACACCCCTCGGCCCAGCCTTGGCCCCACTTACAGCTGCCGCGAGTAAAGGCCCTCGTCTATGTCTGCTTCACTGCCGTTCTTGGCCATTCCCTAGGGATAGAGGGAAAGAACAAGTTCAGGGAGACACACAGGAATGGAGCATGGATAGACAGACAGTGATACAGAAGACTTTCCCACCCACCACTTCGTCTGCCAGTCTCCAGGGAGAGGACACTCACGTTGGTTGGTACCGAGGGCACTTCGGACAACACGGACTGGGCAGGGGAGCAGTTAGAACCCGGCTTTGGATCAGGCCCGGACACGCGACGTTTCTTGGACAGCGGCGAGCTGGACATCTGGAGGAAAAAAAGAAGGAAAGAGGTGACCCTGGGGCACATGGGTACCGTTTTTCTGTTTGTTAGTAGCAACTGTGGGGGAAGGGAAGACAAGTATTAGTACCCCAATTTTACAGCAAAAAGGGAACAGGTACAGAAAGGTGAGGACTTGCCCAGGGTAACACAGTGGTCAGAGCTAAGATCTGAACCCAGGTGGTCTGATTTGCAAATCCACACTGCTGACCACTAAGCCATTTGCTTCTTCCCAGCACAGGACAATGAGGGAGAGACTCCAATCCTGGAGTGAAAGGAATGACAAGAATGTACTTGTGCAGAGGTCAGGGAAAAGATGTGGATTCAGGACAGACCTGGTTTCAAATCTTGAGCCTGCCACTAACAGTAATAATTAACCACCGTGGGCCTCAGTTTTCTCACCTGTGAAACGGGGTGATAATACCACTTACCTTCCCCATGGGGTTATCGAGATGATAAATAACACAGAGCACAGAACCTGGCACAGAGTAGGTAGGCAGTAACAAGCAGCCATTCTCCTCTCCCTTAATCCCAGGGATGGCGGCGGGAGAGGGGAGTGCAGGAGGGAAGTGAGGCTTGGACATCCATCAGGGTGGCATGATGGCAGGAGCAGTAACTTGCTGAGAACCCAGTCCCCAGAGGGGCTCAGGGAGGGACGTTTTATAAAGCCCAACCCTGCCCCCAGCTTTGGGAGGGGAAAACCGACACGGACCAATAAAAGAGGTTGCAGAAAGAAAGAAAACAAACACATCCCAAGCCTCATCTGCATGTGGACTCCCTTAAACAGGTTAACTACAATGATAAATGAGTATTAGACTTATTAGGAGTCCTCCCCGTGCCAGATGCCATAGTAAGCACTTCTCTAAGCCTTGTCTCACTGTGTCCTCAGGGCACTCCCGTGGGGTTTGGACTGCTGTCAATAATACCCCCCAACTTTAAAATGAAGGAAAAAAATTCACTCAGGGACGTTCGGTGACCAAGGTTCCCACACAGTAGCTGAGCTGGGACCAGACCAGGATCTGCTGACTCTGGAGCCCAAGCTGCTTCCTCGTGTTATCACGTTTCATCCCCTCCATGACCCTGACCCAGCAAGGCAGAGTTTAGGACAAATGAGAAAACGTGAGCTCACGCGGTCAAGTAACTCGCCCAGGGTCAACTGCTAGGTCCCAGAGACAGAACAATACAGCCTGCTGTGGAAGTGAAATCTGGTGGTACGGGTGACTGGGTCCAGATGTTGGAGATGGGAGGACCCAGCGTCACTTCCCCTCACCCCCAGTGCTCCTCTAGGCACTGAGTCTTCTGTTCACACAAGTCCTCCTACATTGAGACTTTTATGACACTAAGTATCCCAATGTACCTAAGATTCCATCTTGGCACCTGTCACTAGCACCAACCACAATGACAAGAGCTCCCTACTATCTACCAAGAGCATACTGCATGTCAATCAAAGAGGACAGGGCTTTGTCTAATCTTAACAATCCCCATGACCCAGATAACCCTATGCCCAAATCACAAATGAGAAAACAAAGGCTCAGAGAACCCCATTCACTCGCCCAGAGGCATGCAGCTGGTGGGGGACTGTTTGCCAAACGCCCCTGGACTCAGGGCCCAGTCCAGAGGACTAAGAAATGGGAGATGAGGGGAGGCAGGAGGCTGGTTGGAGCTCCTGAGATAGCCAGGTGAATTGCTTGGAATGCTAAGAGCCAACCTAGGTAGCAAGAGACTTGGTGAGTTAGTAGAGACAAAGGTGAACCATATTTTCCATTTACTGACTCTCTGACTGACCTGGGTTAGAGATCTCATTTCCTCTGAGCCTCATTTTCTCCAAAAGCTGGGACAAACGAAACTGTCTTCAAGGGGCTGCTGGCAGGGTTAAAGAAGCCAAGGTCTGTGGTCAGAACTCACTGACCTGAGGATGTGAGTTCCTCCCTGGGCACCTGTAGTGGCCTCCATTACTTAGTTATCTGCTTGCCTTGTCATTGGTCAGTTTGTTCGGGACACGCCATTTCCTCACTCCGTAAATTAGAGATGATCCAGGGCCAGAGAGCACTTTAACTTCTAGACATTTCCCCTCTGGATCCCTAGTGCAGGCAGCAAGGGTCTAAGAAGTTTCAGATGATTGTTCAACTGGATTTCCACTGCAAAGGTTTGGAACAGCCCTGTCTCAAAGCAAGCAGGAGTCTGGGACAGAAGCTCTGGATAGGAGCTAAAGATCCCCCACCCCCAGCAGAAAAACAATCTACACCCTTCCTCCCTCAACATTTGCTCAGGCCCCCACTATAACATACACACTGTGAACTGTTTGGCAAAACTGAGCTGCGGCTTAGTTTCTAAACATACCTGAGTCTCCAAACTGAAGATTTTCAAGCGTAAGCATTCTCTATTCTCAAACCAGAGGGTTTGAGGGAGGAGTCTTGGAGGTGTGAGAGGAGGCAGGTTAGCAGGATGGCGAAGCTAGGGCATAGAGAAGAGGGGCTGGAGCATGTCAAGCTTTCCGGGAGGGGTTAACTGAGAAGTCCAAGGGAATGTGAGAGGAAAATCAGGAAGTGGGTGTCTAAGAGCAAGGAGGCTCTGAGGCAAATGGGAAAGGAGATGTTAGAAGTCCTGGGAGGGAAGGGACTAGGCTAGGGTATTAGGAAAAGACTCAAATTTCGGATCTCTGGAAAAGGATCTTTTAGAGAAAGGCTGAAAAATTGCAGTAGAGGCCCCCAGAGGCTGCAAAGAGGTAGGACAGTTGCTGGGCCCCATGGAAGCTGCAAAGGGAATGGGTGGGGGATTCTAGAGTCTGAGGAGGCAGCAGGAAGACGTTGGGGTCTGGGGGGAGGGGTAGTCTCCATCAGGAGGATGTTGAGGCTCTGGAGGTCTCTGGAGACAGATGCTGGTAGCAGAGAGAAATCTTTAACCAAAAATAATAGATAGGGACATGCAAGAGGAGAGCTGTATCTGACATTCCTACTACAGAGTCCCAGGAGGCTGTGAGGGTGGATGGTGAGGGGCTGGGAGAGGTTTCTAATGGAACACAAAGGCCCTGTGTCAATCTCTGACAGGACATGCTAGGTATCACAGCTGCTCTGAGGGGGTGGAAAAGGGAAGCTGGGCCCAGATAGTTCAGGCCTTAAAAAGGTTAGTAAGCAAACACTGGCTAGGTCCCCAAATGGAGTTGGGTTTCTCTGACCAATTATGTAGGACCCCATGGAGGCGCTGAAGGTAGATGCTAAGAAGAGGGTTTTCTACTGCAGTAGAAAACAAGAGGGCCATGGCCGGGCGCAGTGACTCACGTCAGTAATGCCAGCACTTTGGGAGGCCAAGGCGGTGGATCACCTGAGGTCAGGAGTTTGAGACCAGCCTGGGCAATATGGTGAAACCCCATCTCTACTAAAAATACAAAAATTTAGCCAGGCGTGGTGGTGCATGCCTGTAATCCCAGCTACTCGGGAGGCTGAGGCAGGAGAATCGCTTGAAGCAGGGAGGTGGAGGTTACAGTGAGCCGAGATGGCGCCACTGCACTCCAGCCTGGACGACACAGTGAAACAACTCCGTCTCAAAAAAAAAAAAAAAAAAAAAAAAA